GGACAGACATGGCTAAATGAACTCAGAATTTTGCGCTGATCATATATATATATATATATATATATTATATATTATATATCTCTTTCTGAAATTTCCTTTTGGTTGTTACATACATACATTACGGGATAAATAAAATGTTTAGACCAAAGCAGTTCGCGCAAAAAAAGAATATATTTTTTTAGATCAAATTTTTTGTAAGTAAAATTCGTGGAAAAGGAGTTTCTGGCTTATCATGATTATGATAATTTATTTAGACCAAAGCAATGTATTCTAGGGCTAAGAGTAGGATGATCACTAACAACTAAGACTATCTGCTGTTCTTTTTTTTTTCAATTGATATGAGTTTGCAGTACATATGGGATTTCTCATGTTCATCTCAATATTGATTTTCACGCGATTGATCATTGTTTGGATAAAAAAGTTCAATTTTCCACCAAAAAAAAAAAAACAATTGATCTCCAAATTAATTTATTAATGTAATTATTGCACTTACCCCCGCGCACACGCATCCGCAGAAAATGTTGCTTTGAAGATTTTCCGAAAAGTGCGAGTAAAAGAAGTTGGAAAATTCAATGTTTGGAGAAAACCGCGCATAAACTTTTCAAATGTTATGCTATAGATATAAATTTTGTAGTAATGCTTGTCGCTTGGTGCAAAACTGCCTCCAAGACTTTATCGTAGAGCTTTCTTGCTACACGTTTTTACTGCGTCTATTGAAGATGCAATTGCGCGCAATTGTGTTACTAGGCTTTACGTGTGGCGATACGATTGGGGAAAAGTAAAAAGAAATATAAAATTTTATGATAGACTTCATAATTAATATCAAAATCTTCATCAAAATTCTCCTAATTTTATAACAGACGCAATCCTCGAATCCTCTCGAATCCCTTATGTTAGCTTCATATCTACTCAATAGTCGTCCCGATACGACTACACTACAGACGTCGTTATATATTAGTAGAGAAAAATTAATGTAAGTAATGCATGTACGCACTCCTTTGGAGAAGACCTTGAACTTTCGAGAAACATGTTTCTTTCAGTTAATGAGTTTACTCCACTCTAAAAAAAGCAAAAAAAAAAAAAAAAAAAAAAAAAACATTTATTAAGACAATAAAAACAAAATTAATTTGTTGAAAAATGTACCGGGTCTTGTCCTCGAACATGCGTAGCAGATAATTACCTCAAAGCAATTGTCAAAGTCCTATCAAAAGTCATTCCAATTGGCCAATGGGCGAATCACTTAAATTGATATTGTAGATTAAAGTTGTAGTGGCCATGGGATGCTCCTCTCAATCTAACCAACTGTTCACGCGCTAAGCTGCGATAATAGAGATATTGATTATTGATGTTTTAGTGTTATAGTAGTTGAAAGTTGAAAAAAGCTTTACATATGGATGGATCGATCGTGCATGCATAAATTAGTGCTAATTGACTGGTTGATAATAACATCATTTTGATCGCAGCAGTTTATCAAAATCTAATCAGTCGTATAAAAAGTCGTATTAAGTCTCTTAAATCAATATCAAAAATTGTATAATAAAATCATTATCATCGTCACTATCACCTGACGACGACTCCCCCCCGCTCGACCAATTGTAAATGTGGTGATTATTGTCATTGCAAACAGATAAATGCACGAAACGTAAGCGATAGCTGGAGTTGTTTTCAAAACTTGTTATTATAATTATGCCATCGAAATAGGATGACATACTTGTTGCTTATTCCGTTTGCGACAAACCAATGCAATCCGGGCAGAGATCTACGAAAAATATATACCCTTTCATTTTTGCTGGTAAAATTCCTATTCTTCTCATTTTTCTCCTACACTAGTCGAAAAATTGAATTGAAAAAACTCTTGATAAAAACAACTACAACAAATTTTAATATGTTTGCGGCAATCCATCGACTGACTTATAAAATGAAATACAGACTGGGATTCGCGTTAATTTAAGGCGATAGGTATCTGAAGTTTCGTTGCAATTCGAACGTAACTTTTTTCTTGTTTTTTGTTCTTGTTATTGCAATTACGATAAGAAATTATATACTGGTGTTAAAAAAAACAAGTATTAAAGCATGTGGTTTTTTTTTTTTTAATATTTTTTTTATATGTTACTTTCTGTTACATACATATTTGATGTTGCTGTAGATACTATGGGATATTTTTTTGTGCATTTTATTTTAATGGTTATCTCTAATTTTCATGCATAGTGGGCCACTTTTAAGGGAGGCAATAATTCTTACGGCTTATGTTAGACCAAATATGGTAAGAATATGCCTCAAAGATACATCCATGCTCGCTTGGTTTGGAATACTTAAAGCATCAACACCACAGTTGTTACCTCTTTCCCAATTATTGTCGAAGAATAAACATTAAAAGTTAACGAGATGCCGTTTCAAACGCAGGATGACAACGAACAGCTACAGTATCCTTAAAAAACTAGCATATAAAGGCATAAGAGCGTGTAAAGTTCGTAGAATAAAATTCTTAAAGATTGATATGCTTTTTCCTAGAAGCTAATCTAAAAGGCTATCAATCCAAAGTTGATGCCAGACAACCTTGCGTTGTCCATAATTTTTTCTTCTCGAGTTTTTGTTACGTCTGCCTTCAGGGCGAATTTTCGATGTTTCATCATTCGTAGGTGAGAATGAAGGCTCTACCCTTTACCAAGTCGAAGAGCGAGAGTTCTGTATCAGATAGCAAATCAATGTCTCTTATAAGTTGCAGTGTTCTGTGTTCGCTAAAGTGTGTTCGCTAAAGTTTCACAAATGAAGGGGCAAATCTATTATACCGATCCTAATTCTTTAGCGATGAGTATTATAAATACCGTAAATGCAGAGCAGTTTTGTTTAACAAAACTTTTCCAACACTTGCCTGTAATAACAAAAAAAAGCAGAAAATAAAAAAAAACAAAAAACAGAAAAGAATTACAATCAGAGCAATAACAACAATAATAAATACAATTAAAGGTATTGCAAATGAATGTTTCTTCTTGAAAGCGAAACAAAGCCAAAGTTTATTCTACAATATTTCATTCATTCAATGCTTGTAATGATGTATAAGACATATGCAGTACTGCAGCGTGGATGGAATTAAAAGCACAAGTGTCTTTATAGTGAATCGGGAGAAGAACAACATTAATTGTGTTTGAGGATAGTTTTTAGATAGTTTTTAACCCAAAGTCAAATATCAAGAACGTTTGCTTTAATAAGTCGTTTCCTAAAGATCTTAGGGCGGTGTAGGAAATACAAGGTTGTCGCGTAGCTCACGTATAAAAGTATAAAGGGTTCAAAAAAAATTACGCCGCAGTCACACTTAGGAGAGTCTCGTGAAATTTAATTGCTTGGCGGATGCCGACACAAAAGCAAGAGCGACCTTTTGAGGAGTATGACTGCAGTAGCTCATAATAGATCGTCTGTCCCTTGCATCGGCAGACACGATACGCTACAGAATCTCCTGTTTTTGCATGGAAACTAACAAAACTACGTTACTGCGAAACGGTTCGAGATGGCGTTTTCAGTCAATTTTTATGATAGTCACTTTCCCTCTTGTATGATAGATCTTTCCCCGTGCATGTAAACGTCTAGAAGCAGTTAACTCATCAACTGCTAAGCTGTTCAAAAGTTCTTTGCGGGCTTTGGGCTACGTTCTCGTCCATTAAGTCCTGCAATTCATGCATGTCTTTGCATTTTTTTAGTCCTGCAGGCCGTACCTTGTCATTGACATTAAATCGCGAAAAGCAATTCCAATAATTGGGATATGTTGGAGCGGTATCACCGTAAACTTCTAAAAGTGTTTAATGAGCTTCGGTAGCAGATTTCTTCAAAGCAAACAACCAAAGTGAAAATGAATGTCGAAAATGCAGTTTTGAGCCTTCCATGATTGGCGTCAATACCACAATATTAACTGGAAAATTGTTATTGTATGTTAGTATATGGTAGAGAAAGATGAAAATCATCGAATTCAACCATTGTGCACATTTCCATTTCGCATTATTATATCATTTTCACCAATAGGTGTCGCTATTATATACTTTTTTATATATATATGTCAGATATACATATAAGATTATGATCAAAATGTAAGACCAATATTCAAGCTAAATTTCACAAGTATATATAATATGTGGAATATCGAAAGTATCTAAATTAGTAGCACTGTGGCAGACATCCATGTCAAATCTCACATGATGAATGTGATCTTTGGTGTTTCAGCTGCTCTTGGTCTTCTACGACCTAAAAAGTATTTTTCCCAATTTTCACCATGTGTGAGATTGTTGAGCGAAGAAGGTGATAGGTGCATTAAATTAAATGAAATTAGATTTGGATCTACGTATATGAGCCGGAATTAGCCGATTAGTCGAGCGAATATCATGGACAGGGTGAGCCTAGACCGGAAATATCAGGCGAAAGTCGCTCAAAAATCAAGGTGATGTTAACAGTTTCCTTCAAATATTGTGTGTGTGTGTGTGTGTGTGTGTGTGTGTTGCGTGTGTGTGTTGTGTTGTGTTGTGTGTGTGTGTGCATTCCTTCCGCCTAGTCAAACTGTTAACAAGGAATACTAATTTAGTTTGAAGATTACTTCGAATTCGACGAAACAATTTCGAAAAAGAAAGTCTTTAAGTATGTCTTCCTTTTTAGATACCGTAGCATAGACTGTTTATGTGAATAGTTAGTAAAAATATCTGCACTCACCAATCTAAAATATTTCACTGATCTAATTACGGCTCTCTTGCGGTTAAAGGTGTAGTTTCTGATCGCTCGTAAGTCTGGCGCTTAAGAATAATTGACGGTATATACGAACTATATCTTGCTCAGCAATTTTTTTTACTTGACTTTTACATTTTGTTTACTTTTTGTCCTTTCTCTCTTGCTTGACTGTCGTCTGTACGTGCTCTGTTCCTCAGAAAGTCAGAAAATCATTATTAGTGCATGGCTCGACCAAAGTTAAACATATATATATATATATATATTGTATTGCATATCAATTTTACCTTTTACTGGTCTGGATATTTTGTTTTGTTTTCTTTTCTTTTAACAAATACTTGGACATAACGCAACCGGAAAAGGAAGTTGTACGACTCATAACGCAACGATTCACTCTGAAGTTTTGCATTTCTATACATAACAGCTGTTTGTCTATTTAACAAAACGTATGAGTTTGCTGCTTAAGGCTTTAGTGCGCAAGTACTTCGTCTCCCCAATATCCATTGCTCTCTGCGAAGCAAACGTATAACGAGACAATATATCTAACCGTAGCAACTAATAAATAGACAATATTTTATGGCTCCCCGCATATTTGTATTAAGAGCAACACGAAAACGAGAAACGAAAAACAAAAACTTAAAAAAAAAAAAAAAAAAAAAACGTTCTTTTGCGGTTGGGTATTATTATGCATATACTGTTGTGTATAATGTCAGTCTTGAAAACGCATTTGAAGCGTAAAATTGCACGCGCGTTCTAATTTTATTTGTATTAATTACACCGACTTATTAAGTTCGCACAATGAATAAAAAATCAAATAACAAAAAATAAATAAATAAAAAAAATGAAGATTTAAAAGAAAAACAAAAACAAAAACAAATTTAGAAATAACTCATGAAAGCTGAATATATGTTAAACTTCACGTGCTACATACAAATCTTATTAAATTGCAATCATTAAATCTTGCTAAGGTGAACTGTGCGGCAAGCTTTTTAAAATAGAAATTCGGGTAAAATATATATATATAATTAATGAAAAGGCGAAAAAGTGTCCAAAAAAAACAAAAATAAAAGAAAGAAGATTGTGCTAAAAATGGCACTCGCGGTTATTGGCCATTAAAAAAAAAAAAAAGAAAAGCGGAGAATGCATTACCGCTGCCCTAAATTAATTCAGTTCAATATAAACAAAATATGCATAAATTACCCGTACCCGTAACTGTTACTCGTACTCGTACTCGTACTTGTACTCGTACTCATACTCATGCTCATGCTCATGCCCATGCCCATGCCCATGTATACATATCGCAAAATATTTACTTATCTCTGAACTAATAATAACGTTATAAACAATTTGGAAGCTTGTTCAGGTTTGTTTACTTTATCACGGCAAGTAAGTTATGTGTGTAAAAGTGTTTGTTTCATTTACTACTTTTTTCGTTTTGTTTTTTATTTATTTATTTTTTTTTTTTTTGCACTTGAAAGCAATTGATTTTTTTTTTTTTTTTTTTTCTATTTACTCAAGTCTATTGAAAGTATTTTAATTTTTGATAAATTTAATCTCTAACCATAGTTTTAATCAAATATTACGTAACTGGAAAGGTAAATATTTGTCAAGAACTTCAATTTGATGACTTTTATAATCACTCGATTTGCGTAACCATTGTCTATTTGATGATTTGAAGAGTATCTTTATGATACCGTCAACTTGTTCGAGACGTTTTTCTTTTTGACAATCGTTCGTTCAAGTTTGTCAGAATATTTTTTGCAATGCTTCAATTCGTCCGGTGACATACTCTTAAATTGATCCAAGAAAGGTTCATACCTTCTATAGATTAATACGATTGGGAATTGGACTTAAATAATCTAGAAAATAACGTACAATAAATCAAGCGAGTATGTGAGTACTCGTTAAACCCCAGATAAACATGGAATTTAATTTCACTTAAGACTGTAAAAAATGTACCGGGTTTTTGAGGCTTTCTTCTGGACATTGTAAAGGTTTTGACAATAAAAATGAAATTTTAATACACCATAATATTAGGTGGGCGTGATTGCTTTTTTCACTTTTTGTAAAAGTCATACAGAGCTATATATATATACAAATTTTCATAATTTTCTCTCCAACCAATTATTAGTTGTTTTTGAAACGAGTAGCGTGCTCAGTTTATATAGTACTTTAGCGATGCCTGTCGACTGATCCCCGTACAAGAACTGACAATGTGTCTGGTAAATTGGCATCCTCTTGTATGTTCTTCTAAAAGTGCGTACTACGAGCATATAACGTACAGGGCAACGAATTCGCAGAATGACATATAGATATCGTGGCTGGCTATTGGCGAATCCATATAATTTTCGATAGTACTAGCTTTCGGACGAAACGTATGAAAATGTCGTGACATTCCGACGATTAGTTTACAGATTACAGTTATTTTAATGAATCCCTAATGGTTTTGGTCGCTTTGGATGGCTTTCGACAGTTGTTGTCAACTCGACTGACTGCTGATTTGAGTCTGGAGTGTTGTGGAGTCTGCAGTCAAGGTGGCAACTATGTTATGCAAGTTCGAAATTCCAAAACGTTTTTGTGGACTTTTTTAAGGCTTTCTGAAACGATTGCCGAATTTGGGCGGCCACACCTGTCGGCATAACGAGTGTCTATATGACTTTGATTAAAATTAACAAACCGTCGGTAAATCTGTTTTTTTTTTTTTTTCTTTGGTAGGCAAAAGTCGCCATAAAATCTTTTAAACCAACACTGGCTGTCAGAAGCAGTGTTTAGTCAATAAGCGAAATTCAGATTTTTTGATTATTTCCAAAAATTCTTGAGGGAGTGCCACAAAAACTAATCAAAACTAATGGTCCGAACGTCATGAAATTTCGATAGGTTTTATTTGAAGCTCGGTGCTATCTAAAAATTATATGAATTTGTCAATCGTCAGTCGACATCTATGCGTCATCCTATGTTTAATTTTTAATACTTTCTAAGGAATAATGAGTTCCTATAAAAAAAATTTACTGTTATTGCTTGCTAGTTTTGACTAAGCAAGTCTATTTATCCTTATCCTCGGCATATCGCGGTTCCCATTAATGCAGAGAGATTTCATTTTTGATATAGTGCAACGAAGACAGATGAAATAGTCGGTCCTGCCTGGGTATAATATAATACATGTGTTTTCGATACAACCCTTCTGGATGTAACTGCTTGGATGGACGATCCTTCGCTAAACGCAAGGCATTGTTGTTATTTTGATTTGTATCCCAAATGAAAATTATTCGAAAACTGTCCAACTTTTTTTTTCTTTTTTTTTTTTTTCTATGAAATAGTTTTTTTTGAAAGCAAACAAAATAAAATGACAGGAAGATGATTACAAGAAAATTGCGTAAAAAAGAAAAGGATTTCGAATTTTGTTGCGCAACTTTTCATATAAAATACAAAACATCGAGCATTATGCACACAATACATTTTTAGTGTAATAATAATGGCACATGCTGCTCAAAATTCATGCTAAAATAAACTTTGCTGTTCATGTATATTTTAGTAGGTTCATTCGGATCAGTGGTTTTCGATGGTACGATTGCCATACCTGTGCTGAATCAATTGCTACAATTGTTCCCTTGACTATGTATTACATTTTGTGGTGTAGTGTGTAGTGGTGCGTATTTTTTTTTTTTTTTTTTCCTCAAAAAAAGTAATATTTCACCGTTTTCTTTTCATTATACGCACTCTTCACATATTTTTGGCAGATGACTGACTATCAACGAAATTCATAGGTACTATAAATCTGTATACATGTTCAACTGCTCTTGGCTTCGCTCAATAAAATTGTGTAATTAGTATTCTGGCTGTTCTGGCATGAATCGTAAGTGAGAGAATTTGAAATTGAAATAAGTAAGAATGTTATATTCTACGGAGGGGCCGTATTTCGCATACCCATTATATAAAGTTTCGGTTCACTTAAGATTTTAATGTCCAAGAAAATCGGTCTTCTTGAAACGCCCCGAAGACTTTATGTATGAAATGTACGCCATCATTAAATTACAAACTAATATAAACACTTTATCGCATTCTAGTATCCAACTCCTTTCATTTGATGCCTACATCGGAGGTATTGTAAACAAAATATTTATCCACTAAATCGTGATGTCGGCTGCAATTAATTTAGAATTAATATGCCTAGCTTCTCGCATTCTACTCGCCAAATTCTTTTGTGTGATACCCATATCAATGGTATTGCAACCAAAAAATTAGTTTACTACGTTGTAACGTCCGAGATATATTTAATGTGGATCTAACACACTTAGCTTTTCCCATTCTATTCTACATGTTCTTTTATTTGATATCCATATCGCTGGTGTTATTAAGAATATATCAATCTACCAGGTCTAACATTTTCGTTTTAGAATTGACCCATTCCTAGGCAGACATTATTATTATAATTAATTTAGTTAGAGAATAAATTCTAAGACTAAAGTCTTAAAGCACTAGCATCTAAGGCTTTCCGACTTTATGAAAAACTTGAAGTTTGAATCCACGACCATTGAATTGATAGTCGAGACTCTTGCCTACTCGGCCGCTTAGGCGGGATTTTTCGGCAGATAATATATCTTCATTTGACGAATCTAGAAAATAGAGTTGAACCTGTCTATTTTGTTTGCCCTATGATAAATGAGCATAAAAGATCGGAAAAATAAAATTTAATTATTTGTAACTCTTTTTTGGGCATGGCCAGGCTTATACATTTTTATATGTAAAGAGTAGAGCGTTTCGTAAAGTAAATGTGGAAATTTTCAGCCTTCTAGCTTTTAAAATTTCTGAGGAATGACCCACAAACTTTTGTTAGAAAAAACGGAGTTACGTTGATTATACGCTCCACCGCGGGCTTCTGCTCTGACCAATTTGTTTCACTCTCAATACGAACCTAAACCTGCAAAACCTGCCAATGCTTCTATCACATTTGAAAACGATATCATCGTTTTTGCGATCACGAGCGTCCCAACAAAACACACCACACCGACGGACAGGTATAGCTTAATAAATTCAGAATTTCATGGTAATCAAAGGTTTCTGAAGATTTCTTTCGGGTGTTATACTGCTTATGAAAGAAAACAAGATGAGTATACTCTCATCCTACAGTGGTGGGTATAAAAAGCTACAAGCCACAATTAATAAATGAAAGATCTTTTCCATTATATAATGTTCTCTTACTTGAATATTAAAGAGCAATGACAGTTTTTGATATCCCTTTGCTTTCAATTTCTGGAATATATAGTCACGCTAGAGCATTGAGCTTTGCCGCAATCTCCTCTTCACACCACAATACCTCATCAGAATAACGCAATAGAATCTGTTCGAATTTTTCACAAATTTTCAAGTCTTGTATAATATTTGGTACAAGGGTACGTTATGTTATGTGTTGTGCGGACATATGCACCACATAAAAGTACTTGCGCTGGCCCCTTCTTTTATTGCATGGATCAACTGAGAATCGCTTTCGACATCGATTTTAGCATGTCTATCATTTCGTCCGTCTGTCCGTCTCTGGGTCTTTGTATCCAAGCTACAGACAATAATTTGTGAAATATTTTGATGAAATTCGGTATACTGTGCAGTGTGGTTTGACGCAAGGACAAACGCTATTGAACATGATTTGGGTCAAATCACTTTTTCGACCATTCCCCCTCCCCCCCATCATCATTTGCAGCCCAATTTTGAAAAGTCGTTATATGCATATTAATTATTGGGTGGTGTAGGGTATTTAGTGATGGACCATGGCCCACTATAGCCTTTTGTTTATTTCTTTTCTCGCATTTTTCTATCGAAATGTGTTTTTTTTTTTTTTTTCAATTTTCATAAGAAAGCTGATAAAGAAAGTTATTGCTTGATTTTTGAAGTGTGTGAGAATAAAAAGCCATTTGTCTAGGTTTCTGTCAAATTGTTAAGAAATTAACTTTTGTTTATTTTTTTTTTTCTTTTTTGTTAAATTGAATAGTTGAACGTTTAATCAATTTGTTCCTTTAATTCAGTATTTCTATCTACGTTTTTTCATATCGTTATACTTTTGATAAAAAATTATATGTACACACACACACACACACACACACACACACACACACACACATATAGTTTTATTTATTCCGTCTAAAAATTAATCGTAAATTATTTTTGGTCTTACAGTGTATCAAGTTCTTCCAAGCACTTTCTTCTTCTTCCTTCGTCTTTATCAGTGGTCCTATTGCCTATGAGATTATTGAAATAAGCTTTTAATTCAATAGAAAGAATATAATTATATGTGTGTAATTGTAAATGTGAACAGTGAAGATTACAATTTTTATTTTGTGTTTTCCAAAAAAACATCCCCCCCGTCGATAAATATGTAAAGCAACTGAAGAAAACTTGTTTTTGTTGATTTATTTCATATGGAAAATACCACATAGGGCTGAACTTTTAGAGGAGGAATGCGGCAAAATTGTAGGAAAGAGCCTTGATGGTAAGAAAATTAGCGCGACAGCAGCTACGGACTGTCTCGAACTCTGAAAGCTATAATTGTATTAAGAACAGTAGACGTACCCCAACCATAGATCAGGGGATTAAGCGGCTTATTCGACACCGGCAAATAAGAACATAATTAGGCTTAAATGTAACAAGAGAGCGTGTGCAGCAACTTCCGAACCGCGGTATTGATCTTAACTATGAACATAAAATTGCCAAACCACGTTTAACTCTACAGTCTACAAAAATGTCGGTCTTGAATTTGCGGCCAAATGCAAATTTCGGCCGGAAGAGTTCGAAAATTTTATATTAAATGATGAAGAAAAATTCAATTTCAACGGAAGCGTCACCATGATGGTGGATCTCTTATTATGGTACCGGCTACATTTGGAGAATGGGGTAAGTCAAATCTATGATTCGTAACTAGAAAAATTGACCGGGAGGCGTACGTGGACTTGGTTGAGAACAATTTAATAGACTTTCCCGGAGAGTTATATGGTGATAATTGGACGTTCCAACAAAGCAACACTCCCATCCATATCGCACAATTTACAAAGGAATTTTTTTCATTCACACAATCTACTGCGAGTAGAGCGGCCAGCCATGAGCCTCAGGGTAATACTTTCCGCCAAGATATTTATGACGTGCAAAGAGTATTTTGCGCTTAAGAAACTTATACTTGATGTATTATCGGAATCGGAGAACATTGGTACATTGGTACAGTGGTACAGTGGTACAGTGGCAACACAATATCATATTAGTTAAATAATATTAGGGCTCAACAATAGGAATTAATATTAGGTTTCATTTCTGCACATAAAATTACTATCTATGAAGTGCCTATGGAATGTGTTTTTTTCGGTTATAAAAAAAAAAAAAATAAATAAATTAAGAGTTTGTATGTAACACACATAAACACAAAACACAAATTGAAGCAAAGATGAAAAAAAAATCTTTTCTTTAGGCTAACAACAATCAACATATAGATATTCGACAGAAGGATGACGTTATCCGTAACCAATATCGGACAATAATTGGGCTACAATTCTAGATCTGTGCGCAGATGTCTTCTTTTTTTTTTTCTTTTTTTTTTTTTGGTGTAAAACATGAGTAAGAGTGTTAAGCATAAATAATTAAAAAGTTTCATATCCAAGACGTAATGTAACGTAAACGTAAAAAAAAAAAAAAAACAGAATTGAAGCGTATTACAGTTACATGTTTAGTGGCTACGAGTTCGATTGAAGTTGGCTTAGCTAGTTTTTTCAAATATTACGTAGATTGCTTGTATTAAGCTAAGTAATTCTGTACAAAACCTCGAATAGAAGTTTCACTGCTTACGGTTCTGCGTTGTTTTACCAAAAAAAAAAAAAAAAAAAAAAAAAAAAAAAAAATTTTCAATTTTATTAAAATGAAAGAAATTTTTTATGTTGGATGATCGCTGGTGCTCATCTTCTCGGTTACCTAGAGGTTCTTCTGCGAAACCCATCTACATTATTCATTTCACTTCTGTGTATATATTTACTTTTTAAATATCTGTGAATTTGTGCTTAAAATTTTTTTTTTTTAAATTTATTAATCTATAATTGCTTAATACTACTAAAATATTTACACCTAATATTATTCGGAAAAGTTATTGTAAAATTCGAACAGGGAGTAAATATCGAGAGCCATAATATGAATACAACTAGACATTATCTGCCGTAAAGATGCTGCGCTTATATAGGGTGTCCCAAAGTTTGCTCAAGATATGCATTTGCAAAAAAAAAAAAAAAAAAAAAAAAAAAAAAAAAAAAAAAAAAAAAAACAATCTGACAGCTGACAGTTAGTGTTAGTGGAAATGGAGCCTTACTCGAGAGAGCAACGCGTTTTTATTATTGAACAATATTATTATTAAGCAAAAGTAATGAGAGTGTGATCACACTTACTCGACAATGAAGCCGGTCCTAATTGATGATATCAATTTGAATCACAGATGCTTCCAATAGGACGATGCAACAATTCAATTATTGCATGAGCCATTCCCTGGTCAAATACTCTCAAATTTTCGGTGACCAGAATGTCGTTAAAAGAGCCAGCAAAACTGTGAAGACCATTTGCTCGATGTGCTATTCCACACATAACCCTAACCTATGAAGATTACGATTCAATACAAAAATTACAATTAAAAAGCAAATATTTTTGTGTTCTACTTAATTAATATAAATCCGGTTAGGAGTTCGCAACACTATGTTGCTTGCTTACCTCTAGGTATTGTGTTCGAATTTATATAAGACGCGTTACCCAACTTTCCCAATTCTTTAATGATTTTTGATAAACGAAAGTGTTAATACAGTCGTAAGCAGAAAATAAAAAAAAAGATTCAATTTTTTTTTTTAATTTTTAATATTTGATGAGAAAATTTTTATTTGCCTATTAACACCTACTAGCTATCGAATTACGCATTTTATATATGTATATATGAATTTTAACTCGTGACATAATATCAATAATATATCACATCGTATATACCTTTATATATGATTTCGTATTCATGTTTAGCGATTCTTGATCCCAGTCAAGTCATTTTCGAATTCCTTACAAGTCACTATTTACGGACAAAGAGAAAGTTGTCATCTTGAAGGATGAGGGGTATATACATGTTTATCAAAACATTTGCAACGGCCAGGAGACAGCTTCAGAGATCTCACAAAGTACATATATTCTTGATCAGCATCAAATTCTAGATCGATTTAAGCATGTCCGTCTCTCCGTCTATTGTAAATATTCTCCTGGCCGTAAAACTGCTGCTATCGACTTAAAATTTGGCAGAAACATTGAGAGTTCTTGCATGCAGTTTGGTATTCAAAATGGGCCAAGTCGGTCGCAGGACGTGGGCACAACACCGCGTAAACTGAAAACATCTCTGTTTTTCAAAAGCAATAAAAAATTGTTTTGTTTGCTTGCTAACCATCAACTATAGCAGACAAATATACAAAAAGTTGAATGTATATTTTATGGGCAATGCTGCAGTATTTGTACAAAAATTGAAAAAATTGACCCCGTCCACCCATTATAAAAAAGGAAAAGAGAAAAAAAATGTTTCTTCATTATCTATATAACGCATAGAAGTAAGCTTCAAAACCGTCATAAAGTACATCAATTCTTGGCCAGTTTCAATTTTGGAGCATGTGCGCCCATCCCTGTGTTTGTCTGCGCAACTGTGTTAGTATCCGTGGCAAACATTCTCCCGCCATCGCAAAAATAAAGAGACATCGCCTACAAACTTATATAGAATAAACTTTTCATAGAATACGTCGAACGAAAACTTTGTACACCTTTTGTTTCCCTGTTTTTGGTAGTTACACTCATAAAGTACAACCGCATAAAGACTGCATAAATTTGCACCTTTATAAAAACGAATTTTCGAATATTACGTCCAGCTGCATAGTTCAGCATAGCTCTGATGCCCTAGCTGTCAGCTGAATTAAAATTTGAAATTTTTATTCATTTATTTATTTTTTTTTTGTTTTTGATTAGTCTGTCAAATGTCCTTTTGACTCTACACGCTATCTATTATTCATTATAAAATGTTCTGTGTTTCAATCAAGGCATCACTATTACCTAAACTTCAAAGTTAATATCTTTATATACAATGTATATCAATGAACTTGAATTATTTTTATTTCTTTTCTTTTTCTTATTTATGTATTTATTCATTGTTTTTTTTTTTTTTTTTTTGTTTTATTTATTTATTTTTTATTTTTATTTTTTTTTTTTGCTTTGACTAGCTGTTCGAAATTCATCGGCACTCATCATCGAGCTCTCTTACACGCTTACACAGTTCAGTGTGTGAAATATGAGAAGAGCAGCAGAACAGCTGTCTTGTTGCTTGAATGAGGTAAAGAAACAACATATATATATATATATATATTATCGTGCAGACTAATCCTTGCTTTATATTATTATATATCGTATATATCGTGTATAATTTTTTGATTATTGCAGTAGTTTTTCTAGTGTGTTTTTCATATGTGGTATGGCGTGCTAAAGTGGGTCAAATGAAACGTTAACTATTTCGTTGTGCGATATTTACCTTGTTATGGCAACCGCAGTTATATTCATTCGATTGGCGGTTTAGCTTCGATTTATATATAAAGTCTAAGTCTTTGACACTAAATACTTACTTACTTACTATATATATATATATATATATATAGATGTATATATGTATGCTTATATATACATTTTCGTAGTCGCGAATACAAATCAAAAATAATGCGATTTGTAATTGTGTGTTTAGAAAATCTTTCATTTCTTTTTCGCTAACAATTATTAAAGAAAGCACAGATTTTACCTTAAAAAAGGGATATATATATATATTTTTTTTTTTTTTTTTTTTCTTTCTTTTTTTTGATTACATATAAGATGTAAGTGTAGTTTTAAAAGCATTGCTCTCCCATTGCCGTCTTACACATTTGAAAGAGTCGCGATATGTGTTGGGTATAAACTCTAGAATTTTCCACATGTTGACGCAATTTATTATTACAATTCTCTTTTTAGATGATAATTAATCGGTCACTATCACACAATATCTGCGAATTTTGCATCATTTCTTAGAATATATATATAAAAAAGTAAAAATAAAAAATGAAAAAAAAATTTCCAAATATCAAAGACAATATTCGAATATTCTAATGAAAAGTAATGAAAATTCGACGTAAATCGCTTATATTAATCCTATTTAGTGTCTGCATTGAAATATGTCCTTCTGTACTGTATCGTACATATGGGGGTTTTTGCTTTTCTGCGTGTGTCTGCTTTCTCCTCAAGTACTTTTGTTTTATTTTGAGACAAAAACAATTTCTCATGAAATTCTCATTTTCAGTTGCTATGTTAAACAATTACTTACTATCAACCGCTTATGTCATTAATATAAACATCTATCCTTGTAGATTGTGTTTTAAGTGCGTATACAAGTCTTGTCTATATATTTCAAATCTTTTCTAATTACCTCCGCAATATTCGGAGAAATTTTCAAGAGAAACGCCGCAAAGGATGCATTTTCCTGCTTATGTCAACTTAAATAATAAAAAAGAAAAAAAAAAATCTAAAATATTATCCCTCTCTGACAACGGTCTTGATTGACTTTATTCATACACATTCGAAAGACATACATAGTTTCATTTAAACGATCGCTTTACTTAACACATTGACTTGGACAGTGAAAATTGCGTTGCGGTCGAAAAAATCGACAGTCAATTCAGTTTAAAATTATTTATGATATCCGAAATCTGCTTGAAGTATATTTCGTAATGGCAGTCATAATATAATTGAGTGTGTGTGTATATATAATACAATGAATGCCGTAACGTCCACTTTGATACAACTTATTATTATTATTATTATTAAAAATTGCATGAAAAATAATCGGCTTCAAAATGGAAATTCTACAGCATTTACGTACTTACGTCATTTTGCATCGCAATGAATATGGATGTTATAGCATCTACGCCCGTCAGTGTATTAATACCTAATCCTAGCTATCTATGCCGATTATACCCATTTGACGAAAAAACTCAACTCTTGATTACATATATTCTTAGGCTATCACTGCCTTTAACAAGCTATAAGTACGAAGAACAAAACGAAGAAATAAAAACAAAATACGTGAACAAAATATAGAAAAAGCTAATTAGATACTGAAATGTTTTTCCGAAAAATACGTCTTCCCTATGTAGCTTTTATAGAAATTTTGAATTACGTTGCGATTAATTAAGTATCGCGGAATTTGCAAACTTCTGGCAATTTCTCTTACCAAGTTTTTACAGGGAAAATATCAGCTTGACATATATGAAACTGAGCCGCCAGTGGATTGTGTTGTTTTCACACTCAGCCGATCGCGCGTCCTGAAGAGCCCTGGACATGGCTTTCCACCGCGCATTCTTTTGTGGTATCTGAAAGCGAAATCCTCCGAATATTATTTATGTAATCAATTTTATCCCACGGTAACGATTTACACTAATTCTTAGACAAAATTTGTAATAAAAAATTTATTATACTTTTTTTTTAATGGTTCAGCGTTGAGAGTCAGAAAATTAAAGACATAAAAGAAAAGAGATAAATAAAGAAACACAAATAAGGAACAAAAGAGCAGAAGATAATTAGCATTTTTTCCGCGTATGATATCTCTCGGGACTTGTAAGCTTACGCAATAGCACATTACAAGATTCGCAAACATACCGTGTATAGCCAGATTTTTTTAATTACAGAGCATACTCTGCATTTCTGTTGAGGATTAAATCTTGCTTCCATTTGTGACAATAGGTACTGTGTTTGTGTATTTCATGTCCTGGGATAAACGTCCTGCGGGGTCCTGTTTCGATGTTCTTCCTGCTGGTTGTACTGCATTCGATGGTGTTGCTTGTATTGGATCAATATTTTGAATTTCCTGCTCCTCCCGTTGTATCACACATATCCCGTTGTATTGCCACATTGAGCAGTAATATGCTTGCAAAAATATATATACATAGAATATTTGTGGAAGGGACTGTCAGTAGAAAAAGAATTTCGAGTTGAACAGTCGAAGGTATTGTCAAAAATAAATTGTGAATAATTTTACAAAAAAAAAAATAAATAAAAAAAAATAAAAAAAATTTTTTAGATAAAAGGGTAGATCTACCCAATCGGTCGGCTAAGTGTTAATAATTGTCATAAGCAACTCGACTTTTGAATGAATGTCTTTCCAAAACATGTTTAAGCTAAACATTTGCGAAAAGGGATAATTAGTTGCACGGCAATCTGGATTCATTGTCTCGAACGAAGACAGCGACTCTCGATCATCTCTCGTGCAATGTTAAAGACCAATGAGCTGGTATGTGTTCTATTTACGTTTGAAAGATCGGCATAGTTGAAGGCTTCATGACTCCACCTGCGCCTTGCAAATGTTATGCAAGCTGTTTTGCCAGCTCTTTGAAGCTGCTTTGAGTTTTACAATTCAGGGAAAGCATTTCCTCTACATTTCCTATACTTTTGTCTGATTTTAAATTCATCGTATTCTCTCTGTATCTCTCCTGTCTTAAGTTAAGATTTAAAAGTGAAAAACTTCAAATTATTATTAATTGTATGGATTTTATAAAATAAATGCAAATATTTTTCATTGCGTTACCCTTCTTCTAACAATCCAGATTCAATTTTTGACCTGATAGCAATACATTACTATTATGGCTGTTTCGCGCGGCTGTACCGCAAAACGTCACCCAAATGAACTCATAAGCTAGCTATGGAATGAGAGAAGAAAACTAAATATTATATTAGTGGAATTTTTTTTTTTTTTTTCATGAAAATTGTAGAAAGGAAAATTTTCAACTAAATTGTGCTTTGTACACAACGAACCGAACGAAGTACATGCATGACAGTAAAGGGTAAAGGATTTGTTTGCCATCCATTAACACCCACATGAAAATTACTATTTGTTGTTTTAATAAAATGGCATAAATTACTTTCTCCATTGTACTCGTGTCGCAGACACATATCTCTCTCATGTACGAGAACACGATATGTCGGGGTACATATCTACAAACATATATGTATATATATATACGTATATATATATATATATGTATGTATATGCATATCAAGGAGAAGAGCGGCGCATTTATATGCATATTATTGCGTAGTCTGTCTCTTGTTGAGACCGCTTTGCCTTTCAATGTCAAATTTGTATGTATATGTATATTGTTTTAGAAATTATAAGATTCACTTATTTAGGTGAGGAGTTGAGTTTGCTGCACTCATAGAATGTGTGTCTGCAGCTAAGTGTTTCAGTTCCATTTACATACCTTGCCGTGGTCGGAGTGTCGCAAGCAAGGATTTACTCAGTTTTCATTTCCTTTTGCGCATCAATTTTTTTTTTTTTTTTTTTTTTTTTTTATGTTTCTAGATTATTAAAGTTCCGAGTTGCCCTTTAGTTTTTATATAAATCAAATTTATAAATTTCATTATCCAATGCAAATATCGCATATTATTAAATAATTTGCATAAGCTGCAGAATATGTCATCCTGTATATGATACCTACCTCTTATCCATTACAATGTAATGATTGCAGATACACACATTTAAAAAAAATTTTAAAATTAATGCACACACACACACGCACACTTTTATTAACAGCTTACGAGGTGGCGCCTAAAGACATACATTTCAATATTTTAAAACTTCAATTGGCCTATGGACACGCAGGGCAACAATTAAAAAGAGATACAGGATTCGCGTATATAGTTTTTATACTTGTGACTAATTAGCATAACCACGCGTTATTGCAAACAATCGACATTAAATAATAATCTGCAAAATGAATTCATCTATTACATCCTACGTCGGATACGGTGGGTCGACGCGGTTGTGTATGCAACGCCCAAAAGTGCTTAAGATAGATCCACCTTTTTTATATCGATCGATTTAGAATTATTTTTTGAATCGATTTAAAGATGTTTTTTTTGTCTGTCCTTCCGAGCTCTTTCTTCGTACATTTCATGTGCAACGTACAGACCGCTATTGCTTTGACTCAGGGGCGAACTCTCTTGAAAATGGACTGAATTTGGATCATTTTTACAATCACTTCCCCCCGAAAACGTCACAGTTGTCATAGGAAAAAATTTGCAAATTTTCAAAATTGGTCAAGAAAAATCGCTAAGTAATTGTGTTTTTTTTTTTTTTGGCAAACTAATAATAATTCATGTGAGACATTTCATCACAGGGCACCATATAACGAAATTTCAGTGAAAGTATTCAGCAAAGAGATTCGAGGTCCCAAAATGTCATCAGAGGATTCGAAGCTGTAAGGGAGATGGAGGTGAGATGTGTGGCTATTTCCCTTTAAGCTTTCGCAAAATTTATAA